CTCTCTCAGGGAGCCAGCTGGATCCTGGACTCCCAAACCCAGAAGAAAGGCAGGATTTTCCCTCCGTTGAAAGAAATCAGAGTAAAAGCAAAAGCTAAAGGTTCTGGTTATGGGCATGGAAGAAAACCATGAGTCCCTTCTCGTCACCCAGGGAGACCCAGAGGGTCCTCGGCCTCCCCTTCCAAGGCTGAACTGTTTGGAAGGAGGTGAAAGCTCGAAGCCTGTCCCTGCAGACGCCAAGGGCCCAAATCCCTTGGGATGGGTGGAGGTTAATCCAACCCTTTCTCCACAACAAGTCTCTGGCCACCCCCACAGCCCCTGCCAGGAAGGGTATTGAGTGATTCCTCCTTAACGTTCCTCAGCTGGGGCTTTCTGCTGGTGGTTGGCCAGTGTCTGCTCCTCTCCAGCTGCAGAAGAAGCCTGTGTGAGATTTTCCCCCCTTTGAATTTCCTCAGGGCTGGTTGCCCAGAGAAGCTGGAGATGCCCCATCCCTGGAGAAGGTCAAGGACAGGGTGGACTGGGCTTGGAACAACCTGGTCTGGTGGGAGGTGTCCCTGCCTGTGGCAAGGGGGTGGGACTGGATGGTCTGTAAGGTCCCTTCCAACCCAAACCCTCCTGTGATATCAGCCCCATATGGGGTTGCTCCCCTCCAGCAGCACAGGTGAGGCCAACATCTGGGTATGGGGACCAGTTTGGGGCTTCCCAGTATGGTGGGGGAGCAAAGAGGGTGAGGGCACCAAACTACAGCCCAGGAAGGGCTTCAAGGGCCCAATGGGGTAGAGAGAGGGCAGAGCCAAGTATCAGATCCCCCCAGTGCCTCTCATTACACCCTGTTAATTGGTTAATTCCCCACTGAGGCTGGGAAAAGAGGACTCCTGGGGCCATAGGCATCCTCACCCTGCTCTGATCTCCTTTCCCAGGTGTCTGGAGACAAGAGGAGGGTTTGATGGACCTTCACCTGAACCCCTGGGTCTCATCTCCCTGTGCAGTGGGTTTTGGAGAGGAACCAGGATGACTTTTCCTTCCTCCAGTTCTCTTAAGCAACTTCCAAAGAAAAACCCACAGGAAATAAAAAACCAAAATAAAAGGCACAGACACAGGGCAGAAATGGTTTAGAATTACAGTTTTAATTTTAACTCCCCAACAGGGCAAGTTTACCTTGTAACAGCCATGTAGTGATTAAACAGCGATTGAAAGATCAAAATAGAGTTGAAGGCACAGAAATGCTCCCATTTTGCACAGAAGGAAAGGAACCTGAACACCGCTCCCCTTTCCTGTCCCTTTGGTGGGATTGTGACAAAACCCAGCCCTGGTTTCTTTCCCAAGGGTAAGTCAATGGCTTTGGGAGTTGCTTTTTTTTTTTTTTCCTCCTGTGCCTTAGGGAAGAAGTTTGAGACAAGTTTTTCCCCGCACCATGAACCACGGGAAGACTCTCTCCCCTTGGAAAGATGCCTGCTCCATAGCAAAGATTTGTTTTTTCCTCTTGGTATCAAAAAACTCCAGCCTCCCTTCCTCACAGTACAAGCAGATTCGTATCCTCTTGGGGACACTGCATAGAGTCAAGGGGGTGACATTTGTAGAGGTCAGAGCCTCATACCGACCACTGTTATGACAGAGAGCCCATATCACTGGGTCGGGCTGCAGGGAGGATAAAGGCCCTTTCTGACAAGCCTTGGCCACCCCGATGGCCCACACGTCAACTCCACAGATCTCCACGTCCCAGCGGTGCCACCCCGATGTGAAGCCCCTCGAGCCCAAAACAAAGGGCCCGGATTTGAACCTCCTTGGGTTGTAGGGCAGGCCCTGCTCACGGCCTTGCCACTGCATGAGCTTGCAGTCCTCTGAGAGATAAAGACCAGCACTGGCTGTCTCCGGGTCCAGCGTCATCTGTGCTGGAGGTGGAGAGAGGGTCAGGCTCATTGCAGCAAATCTGAGGGGAAACAGGGCTTCTTCTCTCCCCCCTCAACCCTCTGACCCAGGTGGGACCGCTCCAGGCATCATCTGGTGGCGGGACCAGGGTGGGAGAAGGGGGAAAGGTGGCACCAGAGCACTTTAGGTCAATCACTGGGGACAGCAGAGCTTCTTTTACCATATTTTTTGATTTCATATGCTGGCTTGCTTGGTTGTATTTTTGGTTTACTTACCTATCAAGGGAAGCTCGGACTCCAGGAAATCTAGAGGAAAGAGAAAATTGTGAGAGGCAGAAAGATCAGTTGGTCTTACTGTGGGTTTCTGCAAAAGTCCCAAGAGTCAGGAACAGGCTTGGGGGAGGCACCAGAGCACTTTAGGTCAATCACTGGGGACAGCAGAGCTTCTTTTACCATATTTTTTGATTTCATATGCTGGCTTGCTTGGTTGTATTTTTGGTTTACTTATCTATCAAGGGAAGCTCGGACTCCAGGAAATCTAGAGGAAAGAGAAAA